CGATCTGCACCACATAGGCAGCAGCATTGTCAAATTGACTCATTGGATTCACATCGCGCTGGACCAAGTCTGCAGAGCTTCGTTCGAAGTATGCCTGGTTCAATCACGCAGCGACGAGCGACGAGTCTACAACTGCTACTGCGAGGCGTTCCTCGCAGAACATGGAATACCTTAGCAAAATGTGCCGCCTATGTGGTTCCATGTATATATAGCTCTATATTCAGCGTCGTCATTCTCCCATCCCATAGTACGATTGTTCAAGAAAGTTGTCACAAAATTTGAACCAGTCATTATAGTGGGTACCACAAACAGCAAACACAAACAATGGAATCCCTGTTGTCCATGTTTTGAAAAGGCTTGGTGGAAAGAAACAAAGGTTTTGGACATGAAACACAACAACCTAATATATAATCAGGCCAGTTGCACTGCATGGTGGCAGTGTACCAAGTCCACGACCTGTTCGCCCTAGGAAGAGGTCAACATCGCCATCCTCATCAAAATCCACAGGCTGCATCTGATCACATAAGGATGAGCAACTTTTTTTGATCGACACAATCGCTTTGCCATGATCGACTGTCTCGGAGTTCCAATGAAACAAAGATCGGTTCAGGAAAGTCACCGTTGTCTCGTCACCGACTCTGGTGCAAAACAATAAGTCTAACTTGCCGTCGACATCCCAATCGGCCACCCGAAAGCTTTGAAAACCCTGATGAGGAAGTTTCAGAAGTTCCTTCCTTCGGTAGGTGTCATCTGGAAGCCTTTCATAGAAATCAATCTGGAACACCTCAGGCGTGTAGTGACCAGCCAAAAGATCCAGGTCTCCGTCAGCATCCCAATCGGCGAAACTCAAATGCTGAGCATCCGCCTCTCGCGAGCTGCGACCACTGAGACCTCCAATGCTGAGGACAAATGGCTCATCCACCACTACTACCACCGCCTCCCTACGTGTGTAAAAACAAAAACATCCAAACATCTCTAAATCGCCCCAGCATGGGCGGTTGTGAAGCTTAGATGACCCCCGGCAAAACGGTACATGAGCGTCGCTCTCCACAAACAAGTGGGAAGTTCGGTGTCAGCATTAAAAACAAATGTTCCGCCCCATTCCGTCCCAACGCCAAGAAAATTTTTGTTCACCCGTCGCACCGGACCTGCTTGACCAGGCAATCTCCGGTGTTCAAAACTGTGGAGTTCCCCCACGCAAGTTCCAGCGGCCGCTTGGCACCACGTTGATGCTTCGCGCTTGATAGAGCCAAGTGACCTAAGGTGAAGCTGAGATGAGGCTTGGGAGACACTTGGGGTCACACACACATAAATATGTATAAATACATAGCTATAATTATATGGGTATGTATATATATATATATTAAGTACCCCTATATAAGGAACCAGGGTGTGTGGGTCTACGCCACTGGTTGCATACTATAGTGGCAACTGGATCCACTGGGATGTATATCTAGGGACCGCAGTGGGTCTGTGGGCCTTTCCCTTGCGTGGCGGCCCCCCTTTCAGGAATGGAAGAGTTCCATGGTGGCGGCGGCGGTGAGGGGGCAGTTTTGACTGGAGATGTACATGGCATGCTAGGCAATGTTGCTGCTTCATTGTGGGCATGTGCCCAGGCTGAACGAGACGAGGTGTGACTGTCACAAGACGAGGTGTGTTAGGCTGTGCTGTCGGCATGCGGGAACAAACAAAATCTAATAATGATCATATTGATATTGTACTTCGAGTGTTCCCCACCCTGAGGCGCGATTTGGAAGAAGGCAGGGCACATGTATTGACAAACTATCCTGACGAGCGCTGCCTGACATGCGCATTGGTTCACGGGCACGTGTTCTGGCATCGAGTCTGGCATCTGTCAAAGAGGCTGGGGAATGTATTGGAGTGCGTTCTAACGTCCTTGTTGCCATGTGCTCTGAACTTTGCCCGGCCCTGAAGTCTGACATGTGTTCTGACATATCTTCTGGCATGTACTTCTGGCGTGTGCTATCGCACCAAACTGGCAGGTGCCCTGACATGTGTTGTGATATCTGGTCCGACTTCGGGTCTGCTGTGTGTGTTCTGCCATGCATTCCGATATGTGTTCTGCCATCAAACCTTCCATTTGCTCCGCCATATGTTCTGACATCCTTTCTGGCATTCCAGGATGGGGGGCGCACCTACCCCAACAGGAGGGGAGGGGCCTAACCCCGACAAGAAACATGAAACCCCCGACAAGAAAGAGGACATCATCACGACAAGGACGTACCTTCTTCCACTTGATCAACAAGCCTGCTTTCTGATACTCGGTGGAAGCAAACTCCCTCCGACTTGCCGGGGCCAACACTAGCCCCCCCAAACCAGCTTCCACTAAGGAAAACTGGGCAGATCCATCAATCTGTGGGGGAAGGCCTTGCCGATATCCTTCGACCAGCTTTCTGGGTGGAAAACTGATTTCTGGAAAATTGGATGGTGGTAAGACCTGACATTGGAGAGCTGCTTTGTAGAGAAGTGCACGGCGATCCATGTGTGTGTTGAAGACTGCGCAAAGCGACAAATACATACAAATACCAGAAAAACATTGACTGCACAGGAAACAGAAATGGATGGATGCTGGTAGTGTATGACTGCTTGGGAACCTAAACACTTCTAAACAATTTTTGTGGGTGACACTGTCATTTGTCTGTGTATGCGGTTGTCGTGAGACAATGTAATTCTTGTCGTGCTAAAGTGCTAAACTATTTCCTGTCGTGATAAATGATCTTTGTGATTCAATTAATAAAATCGTGGCAAGGACACCCTCGCTTCATTCTATCGAGCATATCTGGTGGCCTCGTTTCTGGCATTCGATCTGGTATATATTCTCGCATGTTAGGAGGACAAAGGATGACGGAGGAAGGAGGAACACTTTGTTGAAATAAAAGACCCTCACCTGGCAGGTGAAAAAAGCAGTTCCCCATGGCAACATGTATCTTCCTCCCCCTCTAGAATCCTGCCAATGAGTTTCGCAAACTGGCGTTCCATCTAACATAGAACTGACGTTCCACAATGGCCAACAGCACCCCGCCGCCGCGCGCCAGATACTTGCATTCTGCCAGCTTCTTCAGTTCGTGACCTTTTGAAGGTTCCATCCAGTGACCCTACTCGGAGGCTTAAGTGACCTCAAACCAACCAGGTGATCAAGTACGGTCACTTTGAAGAACCAGGCGCATTGGATTCCATTTCCCTCAAAAACCATGCCTTTGAACTCCAACCGTTCGACCCCTTCGACGACCGCCACGACTCCTGGGGACCGGCACGCACCCGTTCGTGTCGTCGAACGGCACAGACGGATGCGGATGCGGATGGTTTTCGTATCGTTTCGCATCGTATCCGCCAGGTCAATATGCCAGTCCCACTGCCAGTCCCATGGAGTGTCTGGGTAATGAGACGCCAAAAAGGGAATGTTCCTGTTAAATTTCAAAACACCTGCCAGTGCAAGAATGCTAAATGTGGGCAGGGAACACAAGGTACCCAGTAGCACCTAACCCTTTGGGGAAATTCAAACGTGGCTTGCTTGTGTGTGTGTGTGTGTGCGACTATTGATGAGCCAGTCGACCCAGTGCGAAGCTAATCAAAGCTACACTTGCGCAATCAACAGCTTAACATATATAACTAACCAAAGACTTGCAGTAAGCCGAAGCCAATGCGAGCATCCCAAGAGCATTCAAGATCAACGTGATGCTTGCCCACATGGACACGGGCAGGTTGCTCGTGAGAGCAGGAGTCGATCAGTCACTTGTCCACATCTTTGTCCTACTTTTGGGTGTCATGAAAGAGTCTGAGATGCCAGGAGTTCCAAAGAAATCCCAGTCAATGGACCTCACTTTACTGGTGTTAGTTGTATACAAACACTACTGAATGAGGTAAGGACCAGATTTTACTGGGTCTTTGGAGCTGTATACGGAATGGTTTTGTGGACGAATGCAATGGGTTGGACGAATGCCGCACTACTCTCCAAGTCCCATCGTCACAACCGGCACTCTTGGATGTTTGCTTTTGATCCAAGCCAACTGCGCCTGATATGTCAAACCTGAATACATGTTGAATACATGTTGAATACATGTTGAATCATGTTGAATCATGTTGAATACATGTTGAATCATGTTGAATCATGTTGAATCATGAGATACAAAACAGTTGAATCATGTTGAATCGAAGACTGGTCCTGTTTCTAACACGGAGCAGTTGGTGTTTGAGCCATGGAGCCATGGATCATCAAAGCAGCAGTGGCATGGCATGGCGTGTTTGAAGGCTGAATGAGCTCTTACATGATCTTACCAGCCCACAGCTTTTCGCAAGCCACAGTCAAGCCATATCAGGAAATGGGTCCTCTTTTCGATCTGGCCTTTCGGTGTTGGGTCGGCGAGCTTCCACAAAACACCCGTTTTTTTGATGACTCCTTGACCGGACCCTCCAAAGCACCTTTCAAAATGGGGCATGCGGCATGACCCATCACCTGCATGAAAAACCTTCATGTGGCACTCTTCGTTGACAGAATCAACAAGAGTGGCACAGGCTATCTTTTTCTCGCGGGTGGAACTCATTGTATCTCCAGAACCTTGTTTTCTGGCAGTGATATCCTCGACCCTTGCTGTAGAAAATTGAAGAGAACCCGCGAACGGGGAAGACACCGTGGTTACATCCTGTCATCATCCACACATGCAGCCGCACAAGCACGAACACTTGCCAAGTCCAGCAAGGCAGGCAAAACATCCAGGATTTTTGTCCTGATTGTCCGGCTTTGGTTTGTCTTGCCCACTCATTGCACAAACACAGGAGCAGGTGGGAAAATGCGCCCAAAAGTCTACTTGGACGGACGGCTGCTTGCGTTTTGCCTTGGTTTTAACTTGGGTTCCTCCCCTGCTTGAAGGTTTTAACTTGGCAAACTATTACTGTCAGTGGGCCAAGTAAATCTGAAACCACATCGATGGCCGGCCCTATCCCCGGACGAAAAACCGCCCTCCCTTGCGGTCCCTTGCGGCCTGGTGAGCGAACGCCGCGTCGGAACGCCGCGGCAGCTGTGCGGCAGCTGTGCAGGTGGAAAGGGCACCTGGATTTGCGGCTCCCGGAAACCGGGAAAGCATTTCCATAGAGTCGGGTGCTACCCATGAAGGTTAGGGGTGGCCCTGTCACATCCATGGCCGGATGGGACCAAACACCACCCTGGCCTCCATGTGACTGGTACTTGGACGTCCTGACCGCTTGTAGCCCGGAAAGATGGGACATGACCCGAACCCCTGCTGCCATGTTCCGACAAAAACCAACTCAGATCTTCAGGTCTTTCCCAGCTTCAGGGGATTCATCCAGTTCGGGAAGATCATGGAAAATCCATCAGCACCCGATCGGCAAGACCCGATCCGTGGTCCTAAATCTCTGAGAGGAGAGGAGACCCAACAAACATGAGTAAAGCATTGTAAAGCCGCCTGCAGTTCCATTTCAAAATGCGTTTTAAACCAGGATTGCACCCATGATCCCCTCCCATCGAGTCTCAAAGCCCATCCCCACTCCTGGTAGTACTCCTGGTGGATGCTCTGTTTTGGGGGTCCGACCAGTCTAAGTCTCTCTCGCTCCTCTCTCACCTTCCAACTCGCCAAGCCTGCTCTGCCATGGGTCGCACAAAACTGCCTACGTTTCTTGCACAAGACATTTCCAAACAATCCCTGGGTGGTTGGAACAGTTCCAGAAATTCTGCAAGACCCTTCCACACAGTTTCAGAGGTCCTTTCAAATGGTGGGACTTTGCTCTGATCAGACGGGGTGTGTCGATGTGCAAGCTAGCTTGCCCTCTGCACGTGGGGAGAGCTGCTGTGTACACATGATTCACCCCATGTGGGGAACTACGAGACATGCGTTCGGAGGCCTCCGAACATCTCTGCAGCGGAATCTCGTCTTCGCAGCGGAAGAACCCCCAGAGATACGAGACTGTGCTCAGGAGACTGTGCTGCTTGGGGATCCGTGCTTTTTGGGATCTTCGAGGGTCAAACGAAAGGACAGTGACAGCTGTTTGTGAACGACTATATGCGTCTTTCAACATGTCCAAACATGTCCACAACTGTTCAAGTCGTGAAATTTCAGTCTGTCAAACGAAGCAACAGTTCTTGCAAATTGGGGGAGTCGAGGATTTGGGGAGACCGGATTCACTGAGTCTCTGCCAACATGGATCGCCCCGGATCGGCTCCGCCTTGGGGTGTAGAATGGGACTGACCTGGTGGTGTAGTGTAAGTCCATAACAAAATCCTTACAAACGACCCTCCTGACCCGACCACAGGTGGTGAACCTGGGCACCGGACTTGGAAACACGGGAAGCATCTGTTGGAGGGTGCTGGTATATATACTGTATATATAATTATATAATTGGATTTTGATGCTCTTTGATGGATTGCATGGATCAATTGTAATGCTGGTTCTTCTTATGTTATTGTTCTTCAGCATGATAAATATATGTTCTTCGTAGTGTGAAAATCACTGTGCTGTACAATTGTTCCTTACAATGCTGGTTCTTTGATGCTCTTTGGGAAAGATCATATAAGAATGGTTGTTCGAATCCTAGGGGTTCGTTTGCTTGGCCTCACATGGCGGGGTACCTGGTGATCTATGGATCACAAACTGGTCAGGTGGGTCCTTCGTTGTTTGGTCCAAACGTGACCGTGGTTTCTCCTCGGTCACCTGCTGAGCCGGTGGCATGTCATCCGCTTTGGGACGAAAAAGTGAAACCAGCGACATTCCAAGCCCTAGGGAAAGGTTTGCTACGACCGGACCCGACATCTCCAAAGGTTTTGGTGGATCCATAGGGAAGGGAAATGGCTTTGAGTCCCAGTTTTCGTGGAGGTGAACTTGGACTGCGGCACGAAGGACACACGGCTGAAAAACTTGGCCCCGGAACCGGACTGCGGCACGTCGGTCCTGGAACTGGAGCATGGAGAACCTCCAGCGCTTTGGCTGGCGCGTATTTTATTTGGATGACGAAACATGATCGTAGCAAATCCTCCAACAGTGGTCTGGCGAAGACCCGTTTCCTCCAAACCAGTGGTTTTGAACCTGGAGGACATCCATCCCAACCTCTCGCACTGCGAGGCAGCTAAAGCCCTCACTGCTACCCTTCAGGGTGGCTCAGAAGGCACGTAAATGCGCATGTTGAGCTCGTAGCAACAGTCTCCACCTGAGGCCATGTCCCCAACCCCAGATCGACGCATGTTGAAGCCTTATCACCGGGAGGACGTCGTCTCGTACCTCAACGCTCTGGAGTGAGAAGACATGTCCAAGCCAACCTTGGAGGCCAAACTTGTCACACCCTGTGCGACTAGCGCCTAGCGCCACACGTGCCGGCGTTTCACGTGACTGTGTCTCACACCAAGCAGAGGCCTAAGAGGCCAGTTCCGTCAGAGCACGCAGCTCATCGGTCAGCGCAGCTGGAGTTGAAACAGGGGGATTGGTGAAAACAGCTCATTCAGATGAACATCGCGATTGGGATATGAAGATTCCATTGTAAGGCTTGGATTTCCCAAAACACTTGGTCTGCTGGGTGATTTCAAGCCCCATCCTCAAGAAGATCGCTTCATGTTTCAACATAACTTAGAAAAAGCCAATGAGATCACCTAACGGTCACCCATCTTCCGTTGAGAAGGACATGAAAACCATAAATCCATCAGAATGCCATTCTCTCGCCAGGTCTGCCAATGACGAACCCTCACCGGAATGATGCAGGGTGATCTGGTGTAGACTTTGGAACCGACGCCTTCGGCTTGCACACCTGCATGAACCCACGTCGTTGATGGAACCTGATGAACGTCGTTGATGGAACCTGACCCCCAAAAGAAGTATATACTTCACTGAAAGTGGACAGTGATATCACACTCTGTAGTTTGTGGTTCTCATCATCTGAAGTGCTGGTTGACACCAGTTGAGTTGAGTCTGCTCCAGTCTTCCTTGAGACGACCATGAACTCCACCGTCGGTCCCGGAGCTCTCTCGAGCTTCACCGTGTAATGCCAGGGAGCGCTGAGCTTTGCGCAACTGCATGCTCAGGTTTTCAGTCTCCTGAGAAACCTCAGTGCTCATGTGTCCTTTTCCCCTGCCCGGGGGGAATCAGCTGTTTCTTCCCTGCCGAAACATGTATTGCCAGCGCATGTATTGCATGTTACACGCCATCTCTCAAATCTCTAATCTCTACCAGATCTATAGACCAGTAGCGACAGCATCAATTCCAAGCAGCCTCAGCACAAAGCATGTGCACCGTGTCCATGTGCATTCGCTCCATGTTCCTCAAGAAACACTGGTGCACGAAGAATCCTCAGCGGTTGGAGGCGGTGAACCCTTCGCCCGTTCGCAACCCGAAAGATGGAACAGGTGGAGGCGGAAGAACCCTATTACCAGGGCCCCCCGATTGCGTGGTGTCTAAGAATAGCCCCCTAGAGGCTAAGGGGCGTCCATGAACCACCCCAAACCAGGGACCCTAGTATAGGGCTGAGCGCCGTCCCACGACTTCAAGAAGCAAACGGGACCGACTTGTCCTGGCCAACCCCAGTTCCACCGATTCCAGTCGACGGAGGTGGAGCCAGTTGGAGCCCTACAGTAGGGAGACAGAACGTGGAAGGAAGGAACACTTCTCAACCACTTTGGTCCACCAATTCAAAGAAATGACAACCTTTGAAGTGGAATTGCTTCTTCTTTTAAAAGTACTCATTATAGTCAGACACTCCGTTGGCATGTATGGTCCTACATTGACCACCTCCGAACCATCCCAATGTATGTAAAAATTGCTTTTTAAAAAAGATGCCAGTCCCAAACAGCTCCTGTGTGGAATTGATGACCATGGACCCACTAAGCTGCTCTCTCTTTTTTTTTCGGCTGCTCAGTCAACACGAAGCGAAGAGCGGCGTCAGGACGGCCGCAGCAAAAAAATTCGTCCGTTGTGGAGAGGTCTTCCCCGTGACTATAATCGTCCCCGCTCAAAACGAGTCCAAGTAGACCCAGAGACTACCTGTTGGAGTGCTCTCTAGAGTGCTCTCTCAGTGTCTCTGTGCTCTCAACTCACCTCGAACATCGCATCCGTGAGGTGAAGATGAGGCTTAAACAAGAACAAAAACATCCGTCCGACATGGAACTGTCGGTATACCTACTTTTTATAGGCTGTCATTTCTTTTTGTAGGGTCATACCATGTCAGCTCAAAAAGGGCCCAGGAAGGTGTGTCCCTTTGAGCTATTCAAAAGGTCTTGATGACGTCGTGTGGCATCTGCCCAGTGCACGTCGTGTGATTCAATCGGTTCGCTGAAAGAAGGACCCCAAGCCCAGTGGTTCCAGAACTAGAGTGTTTATTTTTTGAGAGTCCAGGGGCGCCCATAGTCATATTGGCTTGAATATAAAGAAAAACATAGGAACAACCATCTGTTGAACACTCCGAACCAATCAACAGATGCTTCTCCTGGGAGCTTTAGATGGTTGTAGATACTATACTTACTATACTCCTAGTTCTGTTGATACTCCTCCAAACAACCGAATTCATTTCTCTCTCCGCACCAAGGGTTCGTCTTGACTCGGGCTCCCTTCGGCCTGCTCTTTTGGGACTCCTATCAGTGTGCTCTGTCCACGGCCGTGGGCGGACTCGCTCCGTTTCGGGATGGGTCCTGAGCAGAATTCCATCGTAAACCCATATAAACCCGCCCCGCAATTGCTGTTTTTCTTTCGAACATCGTTTAAGCCTATACCATATGGAGTTGGAGGTTTTGATCTATTTTGTGCATGATTCATCTGACGACCTTCAAAGAGGGATGACTCCTTCCAAGCTGACGACCGGTCCGTCCCCACCATCCGCCCGTTCGGCACCATCCATTTTCAGAGGCTCCGAGCAAAGCCAGTGCGACGCCGGCGCCCATGGCAATGCCCATGATCACTATGTCGAAGCTCAGGATGATGCCGATGAGGAGACCCACGAAGAGGAAGGAAATGCCTCGGAAAAAAGCCCTTCCCGTAAAAGGGTGCGCATATAGATTAATTTCCTCAGGTATGATGGAAACTGTAAGTTCTAATGTTGGACTGTTGATGTAAACAAGGGACCAGTCATCATGTTGGACTGCTGAGGCTGAGGCATATAATAGTTTAAGAAAAGAAACAAGCCTGGACATGTAAAGGGTAGGGAGGTTGCTAATCAAAAAATATATATACTCAACTAGACTTTCCCACATGCGTGTATGGAAGCTGAGTGGCAGCCGAAGATGCTCCGCTTTCATGGTCTGAGGGAGGGGGGAGAACCATTCTCAGTATCCAGGCTCGAACACACACGCACACACACACACAAAAACACATGGAATGAATCAGTTATTGTAATTTACAGTATCCCACGGCATATATACCGACATTCAGGCCTTTTTAACCACCCTTATAGTATAGGTCAATATGCTGGTCCGGAGTGGCCCCGTCTGATGCTCCTTCGGACACGACTTGTTTGCAGAATGCCTGCACAATCTCCATCTCCATCTCCATTGGACCAGCCACATGTAGCCCTACAGGTCAGTTGGACCTCATTTAACCCTAGGGATCCACATACCGAACCTCAGGAGGTACGACTGGGCCCTCCCTCCTGGCGCCAAATAGTCTCCTTCCTCACCTAACCTGAGGTTCGGTACGACAACGGATCCCTACCTGGAACCCCAAACGATCACCGTTTTTTTGAGTGCCAATCAGTTTTGAGACGCCACATGGCATTGGTGTTCTGTTTTTGGGTGTTTGGCTAAAACGATCAAGAAATATCAAGGAATCAAGGACTGCTTTCGCTATGTGGAAACCTTGCCGGAAACGAGCTGGAGACACCCAAACGCTTAAAAATACAACACAACATTTATAAACACGACTCAAACGACTAGAAACACAACACAAACGACTAGAAACACAACGCCGTTGTGTGAACCACCTGAAACAACAACCAAAAATACAACGCAAACGATCAACAAAACGACGCAAACGCTCAACTTTATGGCGCAACTTTGGTGTTGTTATTCAATACACTTTGGAATCCCTGGAGTGACACCGGCACAGGTCTTGGATTGTTTTTTTGATGGTCGATCAAAAAATCCAAAACGACTAGATTTTGGTAGGTGTTCCAGGCTCCAGGTATAGGTAACCTTTCACCGGAGTGGATCGAACCAACGACGACTCAAACGACGACTCGACCAGTCTCCTGACCTCGCACAGCGCAAGACCAGCCCGCACGTGGTAGCGATCGAGGAATGGATTCTCCGGATGAGACGCTCTGGTTCCGAGGCCGAAGCTGAAACCCACTGGCTGACATATAGAGGAAGCGATAGTAGTCTCCCTTGCAGGTCCATGCCGTTCGCCCAGTTCCATGTCAGGTCTCTTTCCCCGAGTGTGCACCAAAATTGCAGGGGGTCTGGTCGATCAACGCATTGGAACGATGCTGTGATGCTGTGATGCTGGTGGTTCACAAAACTGCTGGGTTGGACGGATTCTCAATCATCAATGAACCCCCTGTTCCGCGATGGACGCCGGTTTGACCGATGGATTCGGTGGGACCCAGTGGCAGGCGAGGATCATGTAGTTCCTGAGGAAGAGCCGGCGAGAATCGAAGCGATGCCGTGCACCACCCAGGTGGATGGGAAGAAGTCGGAGTTCTCTGTTCCAGTGGCTTAAAATAGAAGTTTTGAGGGTCAGATCGGGAACCAGGGGCCTCCAAGAGTCGCCCTTACAATAGGCGAAGGGATGAGAACCGAAAAAACCAATTCGGGTCGGACTGGACCTGTACGGTTCTGAAGATGTTTCTGCCACTGCCCACTGCCCTCAAACTCCGGGAGACCCGTTCGGAGGGTTCGTAAAGGGTCGCGCCCAAAGAGTCTGGGAAGACAAAAACAAGGGTCCAAGTTCCCGATGTATTGGGGGTCAATAAAGATCCCGGATTGATACAGCACCATCGTCCCTATCAATTCCCCTTTGCTGGAAGACTATGCATGATAAAGGAAACCTGGTTCAAGCAAACACACACACAGGCTGCCGGCTGGTACCACGGATTCTTGGATTCAAGTCTTGTGAAAAAAAAA